TTGGACTTTTCAGAAAATTTTGCATGGATGATAACACATACTGGCAGATAGGACATTGGACTTTTCAGAAAATTTTGCATGGATGATAACACATACTGGCAGATAGGACATTGGACTTTTTAGAAAATTCTTGATTGAATAACATTCTTTCCATTTCAGAATACTTCAAATGACAATGAGGCTAACAATCCAAGCACTATAAAATTCAATAGTAAACAGTAATCAGTATGCAGGTAAAAAATACAAGTTATTAAAGGCAGCTAACCATGTTTAACTGTCAGGTCTTAAAACAATTCCGTATTTTAGTTTATGTGAAACTATATTTTTATTAGCTTAAACTCATAATCAGATATAGTTTTACATTTGAGTTCTTGTTTATAAATTTTCTTCATGAAAGTTATACTTTAAAAAGTAAAATCAAGATTTAGTATTACTTTCAATAGAACCAGTAGACCCGAGTGGAGAAGTAACAGATGAAGAAGATGATAGAAATGAGGATCTTGGCTCTGTGGATGACATGAAGAATGTAGTTCTACCTCTTCTGTCCCAACTTAAATTAGGTGTGGATCTTACAAAGGTAGAAAATTTTAATTCAGTCTTATATTTCTGGAAATTTTACTACCATCACAAGTTTACAAATAAAAAATTGGCATTTAGAAACTTAAAAGTTCAAGTTCCACTTTGTCTGTTTTTCTGTATATAAATACTGGTACATATTAGAATAAAAATATGCCAAATTTTAAACAATACTATACAGTTATTTGAAAACATTTATGTAAAAGTTGATTATTCTGAGTAGCTATATCATCCAACAACAACATGAAACTCACTCAATAGTGTTTAGCCCTAAACTGCTAGAATGAATCCAATTTACCAAGTTACTACCCATTCAAGTCATTCTCAATTATATAAATTTCTTGTTTTTCATGCATATTTTTATTTATTATTATAAAGTAACTAAAATGCAAAAATTAGAAACTTTTTAAGTTATATAAGGTTAGATTAGGTAAATAATAACAATAAAAATCTTCAAGAGGTGAACTTGCAAGTAGCCAGTGCTTGAGCTACACGTTTGCCAAATGATTTACAATTTGTGTGGCAGAATTATTAATTAGACATAGTTCAAAGGGCAATAAAACAATAAAAACTAAGTTGAAACAGATGTATACTATTACAAGTTTTAAGCTGTTTAAGATAAACAAATGTACCATGATATGTCATTTTCAAGTTATTCTAGAAAGAGAGAAAAAATGGTAATTTAGATCTATTTTGTATTTTTTTATGATGGTTACGAGGTCAGTCAAATTGACCCACCTTGTATAGAGTTAGGGTAGAGAAAATAACAGATAAGATATAAAGTTTTACTAAAAAAAATGTTTAAAATTTATTTAGGAACTTTTAGAGATTATGAAAATGAAAGTTGACAAATTTTGGATGAAGAAAAGTATTTTTAATCTTAACATGAATATCGAAACATGCACTCGAAGCTGTCAACACTTTGATTCCATATATTCACAGAAAATTTTTAGTGAAAATACTTCATTAAAATTCTGATTTTTTGTCCACAAAAGACCTGATGCTTACTGAAAGCTTGTGAAATTTTGTGAAGATACACAAAACATATTAAAAGTTATAGCATGGAAACTATAAAGGTCAATTTGGGGTCATGAACCTGTAGCAAAAGTGTTAGAGAAAAACTAAAACTCATTGCTGTTACAATAGGACTTTTAAAAATAAAATAATATGAGCATTTAATTTGTCTGTTATGTAACTGTTGTCATAATTGTATGTAACTTACTGCTGAGTTATGAAAATATTTTCATGAACTGATATTCCTGTTAGTTTTTTCTTTGTTTTCCCAGTCTAGATCTCTGTTTTATAGATCAGTATAAAATAAGTTACAAAGACAGACTTAAAACTAGCAGTCAGCATACAATTTGACTTTTAAGATTTCATAGCATAAAAAAACAAGAAACAATGAAATTGGTCATGGAAAATGGTGAAACATGAAGTAGTTTTTAGAAAAAGATAATGGTTATGATATTCAATTTATTGAAATATCTAAAGATGTAGTAATGTAATGATAAATGTAAACAACATGGGTAATTTTGTGAAAAATGGAAAGAAAATGTTTTTGAATATCATTAGGTTTATAGTAAAAGTCCTTCTTAATTTCAAAATGAAGATAGCCTGACAGTATGAAGAAGTATTAGTAAATATCAAGGTTCAAATAGTCTGATAATTTTGAAGTGATATTATAACTGTATGGTGCAATGACAATTAGAAATTTATTTATAAGTATCAAACAGTCTATGCTATTCATCCCAAAAAACATGTACAATGTACTTATTAAAGGCATTAATATATTCTAAACAAGGTTTTACTGTAATAAAAGTAATGTGAACTGTTGGTACCCCAAAATATTCAGAGTACTTTAAGCTTATTTACACATTTTTTTTTAAACATCTATATCCAGAATAACATTTAAAATGTTTTATAAGTATATGTTTATGCTTGTTTCATGAAAATTTAAATTACCCACATTTGTGATTGAAATAATGAAGCTTACCTTTCTTTTAAAGTGTGAAATAGTAATTTGATTTAGGAATACTGCAATTTCTCAAAAAACAATTCAATGGGCAACAAAACTGTAGCCAAATATCAACCAAATATACATATTTTCTTTATTTAGTTCAGTTATTCTGTGCTAGTGAGTACATCACACAAAGAGCTTTTTCATTCCTTGTATTTAAAGTTGAAATAATGAGTTTTGAAATAGTAAAAGGAAAATATTATTGTAATAAAAATTATTCAACAGTTATTTATTTTTAAATATTAAAAATGTGTATTATACTTCTTGTTTTCAAGAAATAACTAACTGTTTTTGTAAATTTGGATGTGTTGCATTTATGACAACCAAATTATATCATCCAGGAATTTCAGAGGATGAATAAGAAGGAAAAAGCCTTACGGTAATCAGTAAACAAGTCTGAACAAATTAATATCTTGATTTCAGTATTTGTATAAAAATATTTTTTTTATATGTAGGTAGTCTTTCCAACATTTATCCTAGAACCCAGATCTCTGCTGGAAATGTTTGCAGATTATTTGGGACATCCTGATATTTTTATCAGGTTGGTTTTTATCATTTTTTTTATATTTATTAATATTTCAGTATAGTGGTTTTTAATTATTTGACACTAAGATGTTGCTTTATGTATTTTAGAATGTGTGAATATTTTCAAATTATACATTTCTGAATCAAACTTTTGAAGCATTTAAAAAAGTTACATATATAATTCTATTGTCTTTGTAGCTTTGTAAATATTATTTTGTACAGTGTATAATATATTATTTATGAAAATACTGGTTGATTACAATGTAGAAAAAATAAAACATAAATGTTTTTTCATACTTAACTAAAAATGTGTTATGTAATTTTTGAAATCATTATACAGCTTTTAGTAGTTTTTAACATTATATAAATTGACTTTTGTTAACATATGGGTTCTTTAGAATAGCAGAAGCCCAATCTCCGGAGAAAAGGATGATAGCAGTCGTGGAATGGTTTCTGACATCTTTTCATGTGGGTTACAAGGTAATGTAGTACAATGCTCTACAATCTAAGTGGTGATAAAGTTTTCACACATTATTACTCTGTCATGTGTGATAGATATACTGCTATTCCAACCATAGAGATTCTGACTGGACAAAGTGTAGCTGCTTTTAGTGGGTACTATCTAAAAAAAAACAAAGGAAATGATATTTTAACCCTGTCATGTATGATGGAGTTTTTTTTTGCTTCTCGAGAGCAAATTGCATCACTGAATTAATAAAATTATAGAGAAGTTATTCAATCTCCTTTTTATTTTTTGACATAATACAATAATATTTCAAAACATACTTGCCTCCTATCACACTACAGCTATTACTTGACTGCCAGGGTTTCTTTCCTTTGCCCATCTAAGCATTGATATGATTTTTTCTCGCTTCCTCCAGTCTTTTATTCCCCATTTAATTGTCCTTGGTGATATCTGTCTTGTGACACTCTCCACCTGCCCTCTATCTTAGTACTGTATACAAGTACCTCCTTTAGATAATATTGTCACTTTTTCTCCACAAAGCATTCACTAACGAGTTTCTCTGTAGTATGACTGTTGGAGATACTTTGAGCATTCTTTGCATTACCTATTTAATTTTCATAAAAATAAACAAAATTGGTTGGCAAGCCAATATACGGCATGAATTCCTGGATTAATTTAATGTATCCAGCAAGGAGGCAACTCAGATCTCTCCTATCCCACCTTTGATATCTAGCGTTGCTCCCAAATTGAGGGTGGTGGTAGTCACTGTCCATGACCTTATCCGTAGTGAGATGGAGATGTACACTTGGTCTGGTGGTGTTTCTATGGGAGTCTATGAGGCTGCACTTGTGGATGATCCTAGACATTCTGGCAAGAATTTAGATTTGCTTTTTCCAGTGCTTTCCTTTACTCCATTAGATTTTGATGAGGCCAATTTGGATCAGTTGCCTCCGGGTCTTTTTCTTCAGTTGATACATCAAGTGTGTGATGTTTGTGGTTATTCTGAGAGCATGTACTTAGTTCTCCCTCCATCCCCTGATATTGTTGTTCATGCAAGAAGGTTCACTTCTCCGTGAAGGGACAGCTATGCCTTGTCCACCATGTTCGTCAGAACAACATGCTTTATTGCAATATTTATCATCCCTACACCTTTTTTTTCAGAAGTCTCTCAGCAATCGCCACATTGATTTGATGATGAGTTGTGACCATTGTTAGCATTCACCTTGGTTCGATTGTCAACTTCTGCACTTTCCCTAGTCTCTTGGCTGGTATGTTGATAGGATTTATTGAGTAGAGATGAGTTGTTGTAGAGAGTTCAACTACCTGCTGCCACCTTCGATGGGTTACGTGAGGCTCCTTTCTCCAACACTTGATTTTTGCGGGGATTCCAGAGTCTTTGGATTCAAGGGTTGATTTTGCCCATCTACATTCATCCATGTTGTCATTGGCTTCTCAAGCTGCCTTGGCTCATACAGGGTCATAGTTCCACCCCTATTTGAGTGTCCTGACCCCTGACATCAGCCCCTCGGTCCATTGATACCCAGAATAGATTCTGCTCATATCCATGAGGTTCCTCCACTCGGTCGAATTGCCGCTAATGCCAGCGATGACTACATGCTTTTGGGGTCTGTGGGGGCTTGGCTTCAAGAATTTCTGTATGTGTAGAAAACCTTTATCACAGATTCGTGGATACTACAATTACTTATGTCCAGATTAGTCGTTCAGTTTACATCACCACCACCATTATCTCCCACCCAACATGAAGTGTTTCCACCTCCTGCAGATTCTCAGAGTTTTGTTAGTCAAGGGGGCAGTGAAGAGAGTTGTTCGAGTTCTTCCTGGGTTTTATTCCCATCTGTTTGTTGTGCCCAAGAAGATGGGAGATTGGCATCTGATCATTGTTTTTTCTTGTATAAATAAATTCTAAGATCCTCCAAAGTTCACAATGGAGTCATTCCTAACTCTGTGGTGGTATTTTTTGCCAGATCTGTGGATGACCAAGTTCAATGTCACTGATGTCTATATGCATGGTCTCATAGCAGAGTCGTCCTGCCACTATCTGCATTTTTTTGCAAAAGGGTCAGATGCTGCAGTGTTCAGGGCTCTGTCCTTCGGGCTATCATTGGCTCCATGTGTGTTCTGCCAAATCATATGAACCTTTCTTCGTCACCTCCATTCCTTAGGCCTGTGCACACATCATTACTTGGATGACTGGCTACTGCTGGCAACGTCTCATCAGTTGGGGGAACGTCACACTCAGATACTGCTTTCTGAAGCGACCAAGGCAGAAATAGTTATCAGAGCTGAGAAATATCTTCTCACTCCAACACCATATATTGTCCATCTAGGTGTCTTTTTCAACACTTATCTGAATCAGACTCGGCCGATTCCCATCCGGCTACATGCTATGTAGGGCATCACTCGATTCTCTCATTCCTATGTTATGAGTGCACATGAGATCCCTTCACTGGTCTCTATTTGACCAATGGATCATGAACAGTGATCCATTAGTTTTCCCAGTCTCCTTATTCAGGATCAACATCTTCCGAGATGAGGTGCATATCTCAGCAGTCAGAATTTCCAGGGCCTATTAATGCTTTTGAGACGGGTCATGGGTGAAAGGATACATCATCCCGTTTACTGAAAGAATTAATGGAAGATGAGTCTTCCCTCCACATCAGTGTTTTAAAACTCCTTGCTGTTCAAAGGATGATGTCTCAAGGTCTTGAGTTAGTGTGGAGCAAAGTTTTCATTCCTCACTCCAACAATTCTATGGTGGTGTCTTACATTTCCAATTAAGGTGACACTCGGTCAAGGTCTTGAACCTTTTGAGCTTATATACTGGACCCACTCCCATCATATCATCCTACTAGCTTGCCATGTTTCAGGGGTGATGAATTTGGTAGCAGATTAATTGTCTTGACCCAACAGGATTCTCCCATCAGAATGGATGCTTCATCAAGGGGTTTTCCGTTAGACTTGCTCTCGGTTTGAGACACCAATGATCGATGCAGCTGCCACTCATTAGAATACTCAACTACTGGCATCTCGGGCATTGGCAGTAGATGCATTCTGTCTGGAATGGATTACACCTATATGCCTACCCACTGGTTCGTCTGCTACCCAGAGCCCTGGTAGTGATTCATTCAACCCTTGTTGCATTCTGTTGGTAGCATAGGATTAGCTGGCTCAAACTTGGTTTCCACATTTGCAGTACCTTCAGGAGTGCCTACCTCTTCCACTTCCTCTTTGGCTGTCTCTGTTGAGGCAGCCATGATCCGACATCTTCCACCTATCCATCCTGGAACTTGTGCTTCCTGCATGTAGTTTATGCAGTCCTTCACATGGCATCAGGGTTTAACTTCTAAGGTTGCTATATATCTGTCTTAGTCTCTGCATTGTCCCATGATGGACATTTATCTCTAGAAATGACACACATCTCGACAATGATATATTGTAAGGAGGTTGAACCTACTCTGTCAAGACCTGCCAACCATAGCTTGATTTTTGACCTGGCTTTTTGACAAGGGTTTTGCATCTTCAACAATTGCTCTATATAAGATGGCCTAATCAGCTACCTTTAGATACTCAGAAATGGAAATTCTATGAGTCTCCAGTGCTCTCCCGCCTCCTTAAGTCATTTTGGGTCCTTTGTCCCAAATGACTGTTTCAGTTACTTAACTGGGATACTAAGGTGGTATTACATGCTCTTTCTCAACATCCATTTCAGCTCTTAGCCTAATGTACCTTTTCTCACCTTTCTCTAAAGGTTTATTTTTTTGTTGCTGCTGACTTGCAGATGTTGCTGGTTGGAGTTGTTTTTGCTGCACGGGCACAGGACTGTTGCCCGCACTAAACTTTTTAAGAGGTGCTAGACAACTGGTTTTTATATTTTGTGTTCATTCAGTTTCCTGGGATTTATCCCTGGTTACCTTGATGGGATGGGTTGATCCATATTGCTTATTCTGGGTTCTCCATAAAGTGAGGACACTGTACCATTCTACCTACATCCTTCTTTACCTAGATGGGTCCTTCTTACCTGAGACACTGGCAGCCAGGGAAGGGGATCAGTCATTTTTACCGATTCATCTTACCAATATTTCTCACCCCTGTGACTGATCTCATCCAGATCATTTGTTATGTCCAGTGAGGGCCTTGAAGTGTTAGGTTGCCCACACTAAACTTTTTAAGAGGTGCTAGACAACTGCTTTTTATATTTTGTGTTCCTTCAGTTTCCTGGGATTTATCCCTGGTTACCTTGATGGGATGGGTTGATCCATATTACTTATTCTGGGTTCTCCATAAAGGTGAGGAGACTTCTGTGAGTTATGTCTTATCAGATTCATCACATTTCTATGACCTAAGCAGCTCGGTTAAATTGACCGGTAAAGGACATTGTGCAGGTTGGTGTGTGGACCTCCCCCAATAGTTTTATCTCACATTAATTGCATGATCTGGCAGTATCTTCACTCTAAGGGTTTTCCACTCCCCCCTCCCCCCGTAGATATATTTACCACATCCACTAGATTATACAGAGGCCCAGCATGGCTAGGTGGTTATGGTGCTTGACTTGCAATCTGAGGGTCATGGGTTTGAATCCCTGTCCCACCAAACATGCTTGCCCTGGATCCTTGGTTGAGCACAGTTTACTTCATGTCCTCCTCATAACTCTGGGGGGAAGTACAATTTACCTTTCCCAAGTGGTTGGGGAGTAAAGATGAGTGTTCATAATTCCAGACCGGGTGAGTTCTGTTTTCTCATGTTGAGTATGACATACAGGATCCCGTCATTCCAAGTTTGGAGTGTTGTTTTTCGGACTTCTTCAGGTTGAGGAAAGAGTTTGTCCACTTCGGTGTTGCTGACTTTTTCGTCCTGATTCTGGTGGCTTGGAATGCATCACTTTATAGCTACAGATTGGGATCCACTCATAGATATATATAAATATATTGTGGTCTAAATGCCCTAGCCACCAACATGGGATTTAGGGGCCATGACCCTATAATTCCATCTCCGA